CCAAGGAAAAACCTTGAATTTCCACAGGAAACCTTTCCATGGGAAGCTCCAGCCCTTCGCTCATCCCTGGAAGATCCAGGCGCAGCTCCAATCCAGCAGCAGGGAGGGCTCAGCATCTCCTGGAAAAGTTCCTTCAACTCGTTAGAATCCTCTGCAGCCTTTCTTGGGACCTGTTCTGGAACTTTCTCCAGTGGGAGAAAACTCCCTCCAGACTGGATTATTCCTTAAATGCCATTCCAAGAGGGAATCCTTGGGGAATTAAACACTCCCAGGGCACGGGATCTTTCCAGAGGCCGGGAATCACATCCTGCTGGGCTGGAGATCCCGGGAAGTGTGAACAAAGAGCTCCATCTACTGATCCCTGATATCCTTAAACTACAACCAAATACTCCTCTAAAATCTCGTGATCTCTGAGAATAATGTTTATCTAAGTGATAAATCATTGTTAACTTTAAAACAATCCCGTCCCTTGGTCACTAACAAAGACAACAACACCAAAGAACCCTTGAGCAGGAGCATTCCTCATTTCCTGCTGCCATTTCCATGGGTGCTGCCTCCCAAACCCCATCCAGAGGGGTTCAGCATCCAGAGGTGCCAAACCCAGTGGGGTTTGCTGTTCTATTTGTGGGGGTCCCCATGGCAGGAAGGAAATGATGAATCTGACTCCATGTTCTCAGAAGGCTCATTTATTATTTTATTTTATTTTATTTTATTTTATTTTATTTTATTTTATTTTATTTTTTAATTTTATTTTATGATATGATGTTATGTTATATTATATTATATTATATTACATTACATTTCATTACATTACATTATATTATATTATATTATATTACATTATATTATATTATATTATGTTATGTTATGTTATGTTATGTTATATTACATTACATTATATTATATTATATTATGTTACGTTACGTTACGTTACGTTACATTACATTATATTATATTATATTATATTATATTATATTATATTATATTATATTATATTATATTATTTTGGGACTTCTGCTGCTCACAGTGACTCTGAGATGTGTACAAGTCTCTTTTCCCCAGCCTGGCAGTCAAAGAAGGAGTCAGAACTCTTCTATTTTTGTTCTCAAGGTCGTTTATTGTTTCTTACCCGTAATTTTTTTTCCCTGACCCGCTGAGGTCTGTCCAGCAGGTCGGGTTGAGGCACACTGCCTGTCCTTGGGGTGGTGTTGTCTTTTATACTAAAAACTACCTGTACATTATTTACCATAACTTCCCAATACCTATCACCTGTGTTAGACAGTGAGCTTCTACCTCAAACCAATCCAAAAGTGCCAACACCACCCAGAAGATGGAGGCCAAGAAGAAGAAGGAAAAATGACAGGACACACCCAGATTCCTCCATCTTGGGACCCCGAGCCCTCTTTCTAAAAACCCAAAAAATCTATTTTTCACCCCGTGACAAACTAACCATTATTCTACCTAAACTTTCTTGACTTGTAATTCTTCATATAAAGGTTGGTAATTGTTTTTTTCAAGGGCTGAATCAAAGGCACAGGGTCTGGGGCTCTGTGCCAGGGTCTCTGAGCCCCCTGGGCAGGGTCTGGAGCAATTCAGGGCAGCCAGAGGAATTCCCTGGGTTCTGATAACTAAACTATGCTAAAGAATACAGAAAGGATACTTACACAATGCTATAAATATAATAATGAAAACTNGAAGCATTTTTGTCACCCTTGATGGCCCAGGTTACATTTAATTCCCTCAGGGCTCTATCCTTCCCAATTCCTGTGTGCTTGGATAAACTCCCTGTCCCCTCTCAGGCTGCCTGGCCCTGCTCCCACCCTCTGGGGATTTCTTTCTTTCCCTGGTTGGGTTTGCCCCTTCCCCTCAGCGTGGCTCGGGAATGCTGGACAGCCCTAAAAATCATCATCACCCCAAGCGCTAAAATCAGTGTGACTCCAAAGCACCCCGGGTGGAGCTGGATCCCTGCAGGAACTGGGGAATGTCAGACCGGAGGATCAGGCTGAAAGCTCATCCCGAGCTCACAGCTGGGGAATTCCTGATCCAGGAGTTCGGGATCCACCTGGGAAAAGGGAAAGAGCCCCAAGATCTCCCGCAGGCCGGTCCCATAAAGCCAGCAGGATTCCCAGCAGGAGTGGGACTGCTTTCCTCAGCTTTTCCAGCCTCGGGATGAGCTCAGAAGCCAAAGTTTCCCCCAAAACCTCTGAAATTCCCCCCAGAGCCTGTGACAAGCACAGATTTTATCTGGTGCGCAATCCAATGCAATTCAGTGGGGCTTCAGCAGTGCAAATCCCAAAGAAACTCAATTCCAGCACTTGGAAACTCCTCTCTCCCAAAGCATCACTATCTTCTCCTTGGCTCCAAGCAGGACTTTTTTTTTCCCTACAGGAAACCATTTATTAGTTGTTTATTATTAATGCAAAGTCCTTGAAGTGGATTTTGATTTCTCCTGTTCTGTGGGGGAATCAGCAGCTCTTCATAAATCACTTTGCATCCAAATCAGTTCCAGCTTCACATCCATGAACCTCCAGGGACTGGAGCCACCAGGAGCAAAATGCAATTTTCACACTGAGCTCGGGAAACTCAAGCTTTTGGCACCTCATCTTCGTTGTATATTGGGCAATAAATACCTGGTTCAGGCAGCAATGAGGTAAAAAGGAATTACAGATTGTCCTGTACCACTTTCTCCTCAGGCTTAAAAGATGGGAACAACACAACAGGGAAAAGGCAATTGGCATTTTGTAGTTTTACAAAATTAGGTGCCAACAGAGGTATTTGGATGGTTACAAGGTAATTGAAAACCATATTTTAGCTTTGGTTTCATTAGGGATTTGCCTTGCAATTACCATCCCCGACTATTTGCTTTATTCTTGTTTTCCATAATGAGAAAAACGTCCTGGCAGAAATTTGGGGCCCAGATCCTCAGGGCAGCACAGGAAGAATTATTCCAAATCCCTTTTGCCGCCAGGAAGGAGCTTTGCTCAGGAAAAAGGGACAAATATCCACAACTCCCTCCCTGCCAGGCTTGAACAGGTCTCAGAACCCAAAAAATCCCAATCCTGCTGCCACTTCCAAGGCTCTCAGTGGTGCCCAGCATGGAGCATCTTCCTGTGTGCATCATATTGGGAAAAACTCGGATTTTCCCCTGGGAAGTGCCTCAGGCACCTCTGAGGCAGCAGAAGTTGGACACAGCAGTGGGAGCTGCACAGACCCTCCCATCACCTTCTGCATCCTCACTGATTTTGTGTTCCCCTGAAATTTTACATCTTAGTTAAAAACCCCCCGAGAAATTCAGTATTTTGGTTAAAAAGGCAATGAGGGTTTGGGGTTTTTTTCAGAACCACGCTGAAGCCAAACCAACACATCTCACAGGACTCTCCTCCCTCTGTACATCAACAAAAACTGGGGAGAGGGGAAAGCCCAAAACCACAACCAGAGCAACTGAGTATTTTTTATTTTTTAGTGTAGAACCTTCATTTTCTGGTAAGAACCAGGATTTAACCATTTCTCACTCAAAATAAGAGCCCCAACCACTTCTTGGTGAGGAAAGCCAACCCCTCCCCAGGGCTCCCAGATGATGCCAAATCCTCACCCCTGTACCAACACGGAAGGAGCTGCTTCCTCACCATCCAGTGTCCTGTGTTCCTGCCCAGGGCAGGGGACTGGAATGGGCTTTAAGGCCCCTTCCAGCCCAAACTATCCCAAATTCTGTGATAATCCCACAGCCCTTCAGCTTTTGCATGGGGACACCTGGGTTTGCCCCCACTCCCTCCTCTCATCGATGTCATAACCAGGGGGACAAAACAAAGGCTCTGGGCATTCCCAAAGGATCTGCAGAGCACTCAGCCGGGAGGGAGCAGCACTTGGGACCCCAGGTGTGAGCAGAGCATTCCCCTGCTCAGTCCCCTCACAGCAGTGCCACTGCATAGCAGAAAAACACCCAGACACTCGGAATCCCAAAGAACTTGGAATTCCAGACCCGTGGCACTTAGTATGTCTTTACCTCACTCCCTCCAGAGCAGCCGTGGCTGCCCCAGATCCCTGCAAGCGCCCCAGGCTGGCCAGGGCTTGGGGCAGCCCGGAGCAGTGGAAGGTTGGGAAGCAGAGCAGGGCAGCCCCCCCCAACTCCAGGAGCAGCCCTGTACAAAGAACCCCCAGCGCCGCCAAAACCTGCACAGAAGGGAAACACGCACGGATCAGCTGGGTTAGGAAACCATTTATTAAATAAAACTGAGCCGAGACGCTGCAGATGTGTCAGGGAGGCCCTGGGAAGCCCCCGGAGCTCCTGGCTGTCGCCTCATCCTCCCGGCGCTCAGTCCAGCTGCAAGAGAGCGAGAGACACGAGAGGAGTCAGCGGGATCCGGCACCCCCGAGCCCCTTCCCGCAGCCGCGGGGCTCACCTTGATGAAGCCGATGTCCTTGGCGTACTGGCGGAAGCACTGCCGGCACATGTTGAGCCCGTACTTGCGGATGAGGCCGTGGCGGTTGGAGCACACGCGGCTGTGAGGGAGCAGAGAGAGGCGCGTGAGGGCGGGGAATGGCGCCGGGGAGGAGAGGGGAATGTGAGGGGAAAGAGGAGCGAGGTAGGGCGGTGAGAGGGCAGCCACGACCCGGGGGGGCGCAAGGGGCGGCACTGACCAAGAGCGAGAGCCCTGCCCGAACTTCCTGGGGTGGCTCCAGTAGAGCTGCTGGTGACCCATGGCTGCGGGCTGCCGAGAGAAAGATGGCGGCGGCCGCCCGCCCTTATACCCTCACGGCGCCTCCCGGCGTGCACCGCGCGGCTCCCGCTTCCCGCCCTGCGCCGCCAGAGCTGTGGGTGGGCACGTTCCCCTCCGTGACGTCACACCGTGGACGGGGCAGCCCGGCCCATTCAGTGACGTCAGAGGTGCTGAAGTTTGTATTGCTAACGGGACAGCCGACGAGCGCCGGGCGTAGTGGCGCGCGCCTGTAATCCTAGCCATGGGGGAGGCTGAACCCTGACGGATTGCTTGAGCCAGGGGTTCGGGGCTGACGTGTGCTGTATGGGGCGCTGGAGTGGGCGTCCCATCCCTAAAAGTCGGAATTTGTGTGGTGACCCCGGGGTAGGGCACCGAACTGATGACGAGGCAGCCGGCCGAGGTGTCAGAGATGGAGCAGAGAAGCTCCCGTGGCGGTCAGTGGAAAGGACCGCATCTGTGAATAGCCACGCCAGTAAGCCCTGGGGCAAGATAGTGAGACGGGGGTTCACACCTTTTGCCACACACTACTAATAAATAACACACCCGAAATAGCCAACCAAAAACCCCCAAACACCCCTTTTCGCCCCAAAACACACACACGCAACACACTGCCTCCTACTGAACAAAAACCGCAACAACACCACACCGCTCAACTACACAATTCACTGCGCCGAGCAAATCACGAACACCGATCCTGCTTTCTAATAATACATCTGCATAAACACTCAGCAAACGCTTCCCCGAGTTCGGTTGTGTTTTCTCCGAATGCCCCTTCATGTCCTCAAAGCCGCCTCATGGCGCCGACACCAAGCTTGACCTAAGCCTTCCTGTCGCTTACCAAAACTCAGCTGCTGTTGTCACATCCGCCTGCCCTCAACTCCTGTCGCCTCAGCTTCCCATGTCCCCTCACCTCCTCTGTGTGTCCTCACCTCCTGCATCCCCTCAGCTCCAGTGTTTCCTCAGTTCCTCTGTGTCCCCTCACCTCCCATGTCCCCTCAGACCCACCACCCCTTCATCTCCTCCATGTCCCCTCCCTCACACCTGCTGTCCCCTCCATGTCTTTATTCTCTGGCCCTTCCTCTGCTCCCTCTTCCTCCTCGTATCATTCTCCCCTCTAAACCCTCTTTTCAATGCCAACACGTCACCACGTGTTTTATGCTTTACTTGATGTTTATGGAAAACTTTATATTTTATGTCATGCTTGGCCGTGATTGTGTATTAGGTAGGCAGGAACTGGGGATTGGTTGGGCGGATTTATGTAAACTTTAGTGTATAAATAATTTTGCTTTTTATTCCCTGGCATGCTTGATTTGTGGACAATTTCCACCTTGCACCCTGCAGAGAATAAACAATGTCTCCTTTCTAAACCTGACTCGTTGCTCGTGTTTAGAGTCCCTAAAATTCGGCAACACCTTGAGCTCCTCTGTGTCCTCCCTTAACTCCCCATGTCCCCTGACCCCTCCATGTCCCTTCACACCCTCCATGTCCCCTCATCCCCCACATTCCTCAAACCCCCATGTCCTCTCAGCTGCTCCATGTCCATTCACAACCCCGTGATCTCCACACCCCCATGCCCCCTCACATCCTCAGCATCCTCCCGTATCCTCAATGTCCCCTCACACTCTACGTCCTCTCGTACGCCCATGTCTGCTCACTCCCACATCCTCTCAGGTCATCTATGTCCCCTCACACATTGCGTCCCCTTACATCCTCTGTCCCTTCGCATGCCGTGTCTCCTCACATCCCATGTCCCCTCACGCCCGGTGTCTCCTAACGCCCCGTGTCCCCTCACACGCCGTGTCCCCTCAC